CCAATCAAACACATCATCTTGATTATAAACTTAATTGAATTTAATAATTTTATTCAATAATTATTTTTTATCTAAAAGAAACAAATTAAGAATCATCAAAATATTAAAGTGATAAAAAAATAAAATAAAATAAATTATATTATTTAATTAATATTTAACCAATATTAAGTAATACAATAATAAAAAAACAATTTTTTTTTTAAACAATTGCAACAATAATTGATAGAAAAAAGCTTAGTCTCTTGTACTACGAAGTCTCATATCTCCTAGACCTCACAAAAGGCTCAAGTACATGGGCTTGGAACACCCACGTATCAAGGTTTTCTTTTTTTAAGGGCAACCACCCTGTAATTATTTGAAAATTAGGATGGTATATTTTAAGTAAAAAAAAACCTGTTTTAAACCATATTTTAACCTTAAAAAATAAAAAAAATACCCCAAACACCTTGGAAAGCATATTTACAATCTCTAACAATAAAAAAATATTTTTAAAATCCACAATCAACCTAAACTTAAATTTTTTGGATTCAGATTTATCGTTTCAGATAAGTTTATGAGGAAAATATTTTATATAAACTTCACTCACAAAAACAAACTTATTGAAGCCAAAATTACTAAGTGATTCTCCTTTTTAATGTTTTTCTCTCTCGTTATAACTTAATCACCATCAAATTTCCTGACCTGCCTTTTTTTCATTTTCTTTTTAATAATTAAATCAGAAACAAAAGAACAGTAAATAAGGATAATGGCCATTGGCCAGGTATTACCCGTCCGATATACGAATGTACGCAGATAGAGGCGATAAAGTCCAGCTATGGTCTTGGGAAATGAGAGCAGCATACTCGAAATTTTTCCACTTAATTGCCGTCACATGGTGACTTGTGAAAGAAGCCATTAGAGGGCAAGTGACTAAACCACAGCCCATAGAGTGATTTTTGGACTCGCCATTTTGTAGGGACTTATACGACGCCGGACTACTAGAAAAATGGGAAAGCGCTGGTTCTCCCTACTATTTTTGGATCATTAGATGATGTTATGCAGTAGCGTGTTCCAGGGTGTGAACTTCAGAAGAAGCATCGATACTTTACACGACACATAAATGGTGTCTGGGGAATACCAGGGGTTTTAGGTAGTGGTAAAATCAAAGTGGTAGTACTGTTATACAAACTGATATGACAAGTGCAGAAATACATTTTCTGCAAAAATTATGGTAACCGGGTCAATGGCCTCTAATCTCATTCATTTTTCTTCAATAAACACCGAGGGAAATGCAGTGAATAAGCATGCATCGAACTAAGATCTGACTTTGGCTAGCCGAGCCCTTAGCTCTTCTAGTTCTTCCTCGTCATCAACACCCTCTGCAATAGCTTCTTCCTGTGAACATTGCAATGACGTTAGGTCTAATCTTTCCTCAAACCAAGTATGCAAAAAACTTAGATCGAAGTTAATCGTACTTCATGGGAGGTGCTTGCTTCTTTGGCAGGTACCCTTACTCGTTCCTTTCTGACAGCTTCAGGAAGCTGAGCAGCTGTCTCACCAGCTATTTCTGTTAGGACCTTATCAACTTCTTCTTCAATTTCCTCTTCGATGTCTTCAGAATCCAGTGCTGAATCAACAGCATCAGTTACCATTTCTTCAATAACCCCAGCCTACAAAGTGCAAACCAAAAGCCAAGGATGTAAAATATAGGTGAAGTAAAACATAAAACGTTGCTCAAAGCCTGAAACATGTCATTGTTAGTGGACATTATGAACCTACTGCATCCAACGCTCTCACTCTAACAAGCATCGAGCCTATTTGATAAGTAGATGAATGGATCCTAAGAAATACATCCTCCATTCCCACATTATAAACTTTGAGCTCAGTTAATTTGCTAGGATTCCCAAACTACATAAATTAACTTGCAATTACCGTTTAAATAAGACAAATAATTGTATTTTTCATAGGAGCAAAGTTTCTTAGTCATAATTTCTGCTGGAGATCACAGGGGATTTTTTTTTACTACAACAATGATGAAAAAAAAATCAGAAAAAAAATTGCAAACATTAATTAGATTCCATCATGGGCTCAGCATGTTAGTAGAATTTTTGATGAGCTGTTAAACAGAAAGTGAAACTAGTTGGTTTTTCATTGAAACAATTCAAGAAATGTGTTCCAAAAAATGATGAAACCAACCTTTGTCATTTCCCTGCTGAATTCTTGCATTGTTGCAGCCATTTCTGGAGCTTTCATAAGGTTATTGACAAGTTTCATGACTTCAGCACTTTTAGATAAATGACCCACAGTACGGGCAATTGCTGAGAATCAAACCCAACATGTGAATCCTCAAGAAATAGTCTCAATGAAACAGAACAATATTAAAGTTTTTTTTTTTTTGACAAATTATTTCAGATAGTTCAAGCCATTAATTTGAAAGTAAAATGCAAGCAACCAAGAATATAGCAGCATGATCACAGAAGTAGTGTGACAAAAACTGACCAATATGGACATATGACTAAAGACTCTCTTGCCACATCACATCTGCAATACAAGATAAGCTTCCAAGGAAATTTGGCAAAAGTCCAACAATAAAACAAGGGTTTGCCTATTTTTCCTTCCCATAAAAATGTTGAAGTTTGAAACTTATTTCATACCTTTTCCCATATCTTTGGAAAGAGAATTCTCATAAAAGGACTTTCAGGTGAAAAAATTCTTAAAACTAAGTAATTTAAATGCATGCCAAGTAAAAAATCCTACCAACACTTTCTCCAAGGTGCATTGATATTGAATTCAGTTGGGCCTTATTTTCATAAAGACGGTTCACGGCTTTTCTCGACATCACAATCTCCTTTGCAAGTGCCTGAAACATAATAGATGGAAAGGGAGACTCACGAGCATGTAAAATATGATACAGCAAGCCATACAAAAGACATGAAATTGGCATCTTTCATGGCTCAACCAGGATTCAACCAATGGCAGGCACATAAGCTACTACCAAGGTTTATTTTTGTTCAGCTCAACATACTTGCAGGATAAGTCTGAGTACATCACTAGTTTCAACTTTCAACCTAAACTTGATTTGATTTCAACATTATCCACATGGCTTTCTAGCTCTAAGCTCCACTTCAAAGTTAAAAAAGTTTTGCCAGTTCAGTTATTATGATACATGGAAGAGTTTGAAGCATAACTACCAAAAGAGACATCTAAAATCCCCTAGAGCAGGATCATTAATCCATGCACATGATCAAGCACATAAAGCAACTAGCAGTTTTAGTTTCGGTAGCTCACAGAGAAGCTGGGATTCTAGAACAGATGCTACAAAATCAAGCTATCTAAGTCCATCATGCATGAATGTTCTAAAAATCCTCAATGATTTTCCAAGTTCACCATCACGAGATTACAGATCTTTCATTTTATCTTATTCAGCACCAATTTCATCAAAAATTGAGTAAAATCAACTCTGAAGTTTGATAATTTACCTTAGCTGAGCCCATGTCATTTCTCTTGGCAGCCTCCTTAATAGCCTTATGTACACTTTTCTCCTCTCTCTGCACATCTAAAACCATAACAAAACCCCAAGTTTTTTAGCCCAAAGTCGCCATCACCATACAAAATGCAACAAACCCAGCAATCCAAGCTTCAGGATTCAGAAAACCCAAAAGCCACAATTCCCATCAACCAAGATGGAATCTTTCTGCTTTAAAATCTAAAAACACAATAAACCCACCATTTTTTTCAGCCCAGATTCACTACAAACACACTAAACAAACCAAACCATCAATCCAAACTCAGAATTTTAAAAAACCCATAATAGATAAAAAAGTGAGAAGTTGGAAACTTGCCTCTGATTTGCCGCTCAATGTTACGGCACTCTTGACGTAGCTTTCTCTGCCAATCCCTCAATTGCTGTTGTGGGTTTGGTTTCGGTTTTAACATGCTCTTGAATTTATCCATCCCTCTCTCTCAAGCTCTCAACTTTAACAGGAGAACAATCAGTCTCCGTCTATGAATAATAGCTTACGATCGAAGCTGGATTTTCTTTTTGGTGTTTGTTTCCCGGGAATGTTTTTCTTTTCTGTTTCCTTTTGTTTCCGGTTCAGTCAGCGTGTAAGGTGTTTTTAACATTAATCGTGGACATTAAGAGAGCTGGAAAACGACACGTCGTACCATAAACCGCGTTGCCTTTTTCGGAAGAGAGCTTCCCTCTCTTTCTTCTGAAAGATAGATTTTCTTCCTTTTCTTAAACAAGGAAGTGAATGGGCAAAATTCTTTTCTATATATTTTTATTTTTATTTTTCAGAGCCTTCAATAAATAAAAATTAAATATTTTATTAATTCAGTTTAGACAAATCATTTTCTTTATAAATTAGTTTATTCACAAAGATTTCTTTCTTCGAACTTTATCATTGTCTGGATTCAAACATGAGGTAAATAATAGAATAGGTTAATGAATTAAAAATCCAGCAAAATTTGAAATATTTTTAAAATCAATTGATAATATTAAATACTTTTGTCAATTACTTTTATAGATATCATTAGTTATTATTTTGAAATAATAAAAATAAAAATAATAGAAAAGGAAACTTATTTAGTTAAAAAGATAAAAATACAAAACAAAACAAAACTTACTTGGTTACTGTCTCTTTTTTTTTTTATCTCGATCAGTAAGGGAATAAACAATTTACATTATATTAAATATAACAAACAAAACTACAGCTATTATATTAAAACCCTATTTTTTTTATATTTTATATTATTTTTTAAAAATTTATATCATTTTAATTTTTTTTACTTTAAATTAATTTTTTTAAATTTTTTTTTTGATATTTTAATATATTGATATTAAAAATTTTTTTTGATATTTTAATGTATTGATATTAAAAATAATTTTTTTAAAATAAATAAATATTATTTTCATATATTTCTAATAAAAAACAACAAGAAGCATACTTTTAAGCAACAATACTATAAAACACGCCGGAGGCAATTTTACATGGCATCACAAGAAAATTGGATAGAAATGCCAGACTTCCAAAGATGCGCACCATTCTGTATCTGATGCTAATGCTACCAAGAAGAATAGTTTTCATAGTGAATAAATACACAAGTTGTTTGTTACAGATTAAAGTAAAATTACATCTGGGATCTGTAATCTCCGTGAGGATAAGCTGGAAAAAAAAAAACCCTAACTAGTCCATTATCATATTCTACATGGAAGAATCAATTACAAGAAATCAGGCTGCACATTCAGAAATTCCTGTATGCTTTACCTTCTATTAGTCTCCATTGCCCTAGAATTAAAACATTGTCATTGATTATTTAATCAAATAGGCCTTCATCATGCCAAATATCAACTAAAAAATCTACCATCTCCTGCAAAATTCAACAATCAGTTGAACCGAGATCAACAACTGCACAGGAAATTAAGAAGAAAACTAGAAGTGGAACATTCTGAAAGATCAGAAAGAATCACCAGTCCAAAATCTTTAACCCTGACCTTTCATGCGCATGCTCATGCTCATGCACACTACCACTAAAGAAGATTCAAAACCAATAAACCATAAAATTTACTTAATGTGAGAATGGTTGTCAGAAAAGAGCTTACAGATAAAGGAATTGGCTCAGAGAAGGGCTCGTGAGTAGAAAGCAAATCTTCATAGGTTGTTGACCAGCTGCAAAGAAAAGTTCTCGCGTTATGTTTCATCTATCAACAGGATCGGCTCCAAGGATGCCTGCTTGAATCTTAAAAGCACCATGTCATGCAAAAATGCTCAAAATGTATTTTCTTAAACTCTCGTCTTGGCTCCCTCTTAGATGGGACCATAACAAGGTCAAGATTCAAGACCACTAATACGAGTAATTACAAATGAAGATCAATAACCAATCTAATCATGTCAATTGTCATGAACCATCATAATACATGAACAAACTAGGCAGAGGTTACCACAGTACGGATGGGCAAAAATAATGACAGAAACAATGATATGATATCATGAACCACGTAATACACAAACTAAATAGGAAGCACGAACATTCTCTTGGAGGTGTCAGTGGTGTTTTTCTGTCGGTCCTACTTATGAAGCCACTTAAAAAAAAAAATTCTGCCAGTCCTAAATTTCTGTCAATGGTGTATTTCTGTCAGTCCTACTTAGGAAGCACAAATATTCTCTTGGAAGTGTCGATGGTGTCTTTCTGATTTCTTTACGCATAGGTTTTGGAAGGACAAGAATAGCCCCTGGTCCCTACATGATTACATGATGACACATGCATTTATTCTTGGCTGAATGCAGCAGGCAGTGAAATGCAGTTCAACAATTCATTTCACTGTCCAAAACTTTCAGTGTCTGCCATCAGGAAGTGCAATAACGTTCTTATTTTTTCCTCATTAATTGCTGAGGCAAGATTTAATATATGCACCCTGAAAACACGAAATACAAATTATTCAGAGTAGGGAGCTTCCAGGCTTATAGATGGTACAAATCGTTGACCACTGAAATAGAGCTCATAGCACTCAAGAAGCTTTACAGACAAATTACCTTATAATTGGGTCCTTGGTCGTTCTTTGTGGCTGACGAGATTGATTTCCTGTCCATTTTCTTCTGTTCTCGTGCCATGCAATTGAAGCTAAACAGTGCATTTGGACACATTATACTCATGGAAAAGAAAATTACACATTGAAAGAAACAGAAAATAATGAATATGAATAGACAAAGGCTCGCTACTGAGATTTGCAAAAGGAAAGAAAGATGCATAACAATCACAAAAGCAAAACCAAAGAAGTATTTACTATTTGAAACTCGACTTCAATGGATGACTTAGAAACCCATGTGAAGCAACACTTGAAAAAAGTCAAAAGTTTCCAGTCATTATTTTGTACAGAAAATTATCAGTGACGTTTATTCAGATTATTCCTGTGATGTCAATGGTAGAATAATAAACTTCTTTTGTCATCTTCTCCTTATAAAGCATGAAATTTCAATTGGCATTAGGTGTATCTTTAACATAGAAAAAGAAATCTCTAAGAACACGTCTAATTAAAAAATTAAGACCCTGAAAACCAGCAGATGTAAGACTAGAAAAATTGCTGTAATTCACAATCACCGAGTGAGTTGCTTTAAAGAAATCCCAAAAGAATATAGATTTAGAGAAATTGTTGGCATTCATGACCAAGGCAAGAGACTCACCATGATTAACAAATACAGATGTACTCTTCTCTTTTTCTGTGTTCATATGTTCTCCATTGGTGGATGTGGAATGCTCTGATGATTGCTTCTCATTGGAGTGGGAGCTTACAGAATTTACCTCCATTTGCTCTAAACTGAATACTTATTCCCTTTGGAAGTAACACATTAACTGCCGACTACCAGTCCTTTTTAACAAGTTCCTTCGGGGATTTATCAAAAGATATAGCTATTTGGAATGATGCAAGGCTTCTACAACAACTTCTTGGCATAAAATAGTTCTTCTCTGTGATTGGCAAATCAAAAGGAAAGGTAAGAATAAGGACATACGAGTCAGAATGTCACTTTTTTTTTTTTTAGATTAACATACAATAGTGACACACTTTGAAAAAAAGTGAATACAATAGTGACACACTTTGAAAAAAAGAACCACATTCTTCTCGTTGGACCAAATATAAAACCATAGCCAACTTCAACATTAATCATATTTACCTTGCTTCTGAAAATCTATGTAAAATCTTCGGTAAATTAATCACCAAAACTTTCAGAGTCCATTTATGTTAATGACAACAGAAGTTCCACACTAGAAAAGCAGATGACTTGGTCCTATCAGTTTTAATGTCCGTCCTTAATCTTTCTTTCTAGCACGAGCTTCCTTTCAGACACATAACATGTAAAGTAATAAATAAACCAAAAGGCATGTGAGCTATAAAACAAGAAAAATAAAAGTCTCCCAGCAATCATTTTTTTGTCAGACATCATTAGAGCACTAGTGCCGTGATCAACAAAAAAAATGTTCTTTTAATCTAAATTTATGACAAAATTTTATTCTCTACAGTCAACAAAGTCAACACAAACTCAGATCTGTTGCAAAGTATGAACTTTTCCAAAAACAAACCCACAGAACAGAACCATCAAAGACATGCATTTACTTCTTCACATCCCCACCAAATCACCAAGAAATCCAAAAAAAGACCACACTTCCTCTTGCACAATTCACCAGGTTGTGATCCAAATTCTCTGAAAAAAAGAAAAATCCCACCATGCTACTATGCAACTCCTCATTCTACAAGTCCAATAATTTTTTTTTTTCACATAAGAACAGATTTCAAGAACTGGGTCGTTAAATCAACTAAATTTCACATTCTTGAGCCGACCTTCTTTTACTCATCTTATCAGCTACAGTTTATCTACTTTTACACTGCTCTTCCTGTTTTCTTGTTGGTATATGCATAACAAAACATGCTCAAAATGTGAAGCGAACCAAACAGATTATAAAAACACAGACACAGAAGTTGCAAAAGCAAATCCCACGAGCTCAAAATCATTTTCAGAACTCGGAAACATTTTCTAAATTTAAGAAAGCATGCATTTAGCCAGTTTTTTTTTTAAATATAGTATAAAAGGTAATCTTAAGCAGGAATAAATCAAAATCCCTAAAAAGAATTACATCGAGAAAGAGAGAAAAGGCTGGGCAATACCTTGTTCCAGATTTTTTATCAACGCATTGGGTATTTTAAAGCTGAATCTAAAGTGTTTCTTTCAGAGGGAGGGGGGTGTGTGGTTGGGGGGGGGGGGGAGAAGGAAATTAGGAGAACGTCGGTTTTGATAATTATTGACTTTTGGTATGGTAATGATAATATAATAATCTTTGTATTAAAGGAGAAAATCCATTTTCCTAACAGATGATTAATCTGGATCAACTTTGACTAAATCCATCTCTTAAATCTAATAAAGCAAATTATCTATAATATATATATATACACATATGCTTGCTTTTCTCATCCCTGGCAGGCCCTTCTATTCTTTTCTTGCTTCGTGAGCTTCCTCCTCTGGGTTTTTATTAAACCTATGAGTCAGCGATTCGCTACGATTAAATATTTTTTTTTCTATAAATAAATATATATATATAGTTTTTTTAATAAATTTATGTAATTTAAAATTTTTTAGTTTAAATTAAAACATTTATGTATCTATATAATTAAATGAAAAAAAAAATTATATATGAGAATAAATAAATAAAAAATTATTGAGAATAATTAAAAATAAAACTTGAAAAATCAAGAAACAATTATAAATTAAGATATTTAATATTAAAAATAAAATATTTATCCTGTTATATTTACTAAATTTTTCATTAAAATAATTTTTTATTTTAGCAAATGATAATAAAAATAAAAATAAAAATTATATAGATCAAATAAAATAAAATGAGAAAGTAACATCATCCAAAACTATGCATGTTACTTGTTAGAAATGTTATCTAAAAATAAAATTTTATTATTTAAAAAAATAAAACTCATCTGTACAAAAAATAAAAAAATATATAGATAAATCAACTTTAAATTTAAATCCATAACTAAAAAATAATAATCATTATTTATAAGTGGCTCTCGATTCAAAATGAAAAAAAATATATTAATTTAAATATAAATTAAAATAAACTAAAGAGAAAAACCATAAAAATTATTAATTTAAAAAATTAAAAAAAAAGGGCAAATGTTACGGCCCTTGTTTTTTTGTTTGCAATTGAGGCAGACAACCCGCCTAAAGTTTAAGTTTTTTAAACTTGAAAGCTTGTTTTTCATTCTATATTTGACCAAGAACACTATAAGAATTATGATAAATTTATTTATGGTATTGAAAAAACTAAAAAGATTATCTAGAAAAGCAAAATCAAACCAAAATAAAAATTCAACCCAGGCTCAAATTTTTTTTTCATAAACTTTAGAGGTAAAAAAAAAACCTAATATAAATGATTGTCATTAAATGAAGTTATTTAACACAGATATAATTTATTTTAATTGTTTAAATCAATGTTAATAAGACTTTTCTCTTTTTATCACTAGAATCGGGTAATCTCTCTTTTTTCTTGATCAGGAATTAAGAGATAATAAAAAAATTTTATACTGGAACTAAATTAAAAAAAATATTGAGATACTAAAATTATATAATTTATATAATTTTAAAAAATTAAGAACTAGAATGTATCATTTGCCAAAATTCATGTAACACTACTCATGTTTATTGTTTTTTTTTTATCATTTTTTTATAACTTTATAGGAGATCAAAAGTAACTTATCTTCCATTCAATTTATTTTTTAAGTTTGAGTATTAAATTAAAAAAATTACATAATCTATTTACAGTAATAATATATAAAAGGACAGAAAACATATTCATACACAACGAAAAACTCACTCTTTTAAAAAATATACTTTATTTTTATTTTTATTTTCTGATTTACTTGTCCTGACGTGGATTTGATTTGGAAAAATAACATTATTTAAAAATAAAAAAATAACACCACACAAAACTACACATATTAAAAATAATATTTCATTGTTTGAAAAAACAAAATTCATCAATATAGAAAGATAAAAAAATATAGATAAATCAACTTTAAATTTAAATGCACAATTAAATCATAATAATTGTCATTTACAAGTGGCTCTCAAATAAAAATGGAAGAGAGAATAGATATTAATTTAAATATAAATTAAAAAATTAGAGAGAAAAACCATTAAAACCATTAATGTTAAATAATAGAAAAAAAAAAACAAACGTTACTTGTTAGGCCCTTGTTTATTTTTTTGTGACCAGAGAGAACAACTGCCCCAAAATTTTTTGAAAAAAATTAGACCACACCTCATTTGTTCTGTCAAGATTTGAGTTTTTTTAATTTGAAAACCTGTTTTTCATTCCATATTTAACCTAAAACACTATAAAAATTATGATAAATTTATTTATGATCTTAAAAAACTGAAAAACCTTCTTAAAAAGAAAAATCAAACCGAAACAAATAATTAACTCGAATTCAAATTTATTTTTTCACAAATTTTAAAGGTAAAAAAAACTTGATATAAATGATTATTATCAAATAAAACTATTTGATATAAATATAGTTTATCTGAATTGTTTAAATTAGTGTCAATGATATTTTTTTTTTAACATCAGAATTTGACAACCTCTTTTTTCTCTCAACTAGAAATTGAAAAATAATTTTTTTTATATTAAATTGAATTAAAAAATATTAAAATACTGAAATTATATAAATTACATTATTTTAAAAATTTAAGACACGTGCATCATTTGAGAACTCACGCAACACCATTTTTTTTAAAAATTTTTTATAACTTTATAAGAAATCAAAAGTAATTTATCTTTAATTATAATATATTTTTTTAAGTTAGAGTATTAAATTTAAAAAATTGCATTATCCATTTACAATATATATATATAAATAATATATAAAAGGATAAACAACAGATTCCTGCGCACCGAAAAACTCGTGCTTTTAAGAGATATACTTAATTTTTATTTTCATTTTCTGATTTCTCTTTCCAGCTGACGTGGGTTTGATCTGGGGAAATTTGGAGTGGATAAGCTGTCTTTATACCATGATGACTGATATACCCTTCACCTACTGGTACATCTCATGGTAGGTAGACAATCTACGGGTGTCTTTGTCATTTCAAAGCAGCAACAACCCAAAACAAATATCTACGTACCACACTTTTTTTTTTCCTCAACTGCACTCTGGTCACAAATTTGTCGTCTAGATTTAGGACAACGAGGTTTGAACTTAAAACCTGTTTTTATGGTGGAGGGTAATGGCTACTATTTGACTATGCCCTGGCCATTTCAGCAATAACTTCATTGCACGAGAAATTAGATCTCAAAACGTGGTGCTATGTTGGGTCTACACGCGAAAGATTAAAGTATATCTATCCTTTTGACATCCGTCCTTTCTTTTCGATTGTAGACTACCCATGTAATTTATTAGTATCTTAAACGACATGCAAGCCCGTGAAGTTTATTTATTTCATGTCATCTCGTCTAATTGGATTCCTTAGACGAGAAGTTATCTTGATTTCCCTTTTGCTCCTCCAAGCTATCACCCTTTGAGTAATATTTATGCAGCGGCAGGTTACATCTCATAGTTACTAAAGGTTTATCTGATGATTAATTTTAGAATCTTAAAAGATTAATAGAAATATACACCCGAATATCTATATATATATATATATATAAATTCGTGTAGTGCCTCCAAGTGATGCCCCATAGTTAATAGTCTGGTCGATTCCTTAATGCTCCACGTTCATGCATCATCCACCAAAAGTAAAAACTCCTCCAAAGCAAAATACACCATCCATAAAAGAGTACCCAATCAAATTCCCTTGAGTCGTATGGAAATAAAAGCAGCAACTATGACTAGCATATATGCAGCAAATGACGGATAAACGAAGCACTAGAATAGATATATATAAATATATATTATGTGGAAAGTCTACAAACCGACCTTAGCTCAGTTGGCAGAGCGGAGGACTGTAGTTGTAGCTGTAATCCTTAGGTCGCTGGTTCGAATCCGGCAGGTCGGATATTTCTTTTGCTTTCCTTTCCTCTTCTTTTTACTTAGAAAATTCCTTACAGTAAGTATATAAGACAAAAAAGAAAAAATTACGTAGATTGAATTATAGGCAGGACCACACCTTGATCTCCAAATTTTTTATGCAACTAAAAACCGCCGCAAGATGAAAAATCAGCCCTTCTACCGTCCCTGTCCTGGGCATTCTAAATATTCCTGTGCCTTCGTCAGAAGCGTGCCTCACATCAAGGATCGGTTGATAAAACGGTTCAAGGTTCCGGTTTAAACCTGGCTACACATGCAAACAAAACGAAGCAACTCTCTCCCCTGACTGCAATAAGACCTCAGGACCCAAAAAAAGGAAAACTGAAAAGAACAAAGAACACCATTTTTTGCCAGATAACTTCTTCAATGGATGGAATGTTTAATCACTTTCCATCAAATAAACTACAAAGATCGAGCGAAACAAATACAACAGCGTGGAATTAGTTCTTTGCTAAATTCTGGACGTCTACATATGAAAGTTATTTCCCAGAACTCACTACTGAGCTGCTGGGAATGAACAAAAGAATATTAGACAGGCAGTGATGCATCACTGCACATCTCATTTTCAAAAGAGAATCTTCTTTGATCTGACGCTGACGAGTAAGTGTGAACATGTAGTAATTTCTGTATAAAGGTAGATGACAGCTGGTGATTGTATCTACCTCAGATTATTCCCTCAATGAGTTATCATTGTGTATAATGTAAAAAAAAAATCATGAATGTACAGTGTCCATTATGAAACCTCCAGAGCAGAATCATCTTCTCCGCTTCCACCAGTCTGGGACTTTCAATCTGTGATTTCTATGGACAGCAAGTTGGGCTCCTGGAAGCTTGTGCTTAACCTGCCTCCATAGCATGTTGACTGCATCTTCCTTCAATGGGGGGTATTGGAATTCAAAGTGATGGGAGATCTTCTTGAGCTGCTTCCACATTTTAATCCACCTGTCCTTTGGAAATTTCCGGAGCTGATTAACCAAGTAATCTGGCTGA